TCTAAATAGAAATGATAAAGTTATCACGATAGAACGACTGAATAAAGCAGAAGCCATCAGTGTCGACAGAGTCAAACCAGCATTCATCGACGATTTCGAAGCCAACGATAAAGACCAGCTGAACGACGTGCCAACAGCTACATCCACGCAAGCTTCAACGTCGCCAGAGAAACCTATGAAAACTACACGCTCTGGTAGGAGAGTTCATTAGCCTAAACGTTATGTGCAAATCATCAAAATATAACTTACTACGAATTTTCAATTTTATTATCTTTATTCGTAATTGTCATTTAACTACTCATTTAACTGATTAATATTTTCATACGTAAATCACGTCACTACTATTTTAACATCGATATTCCCTGTATTATTACATTTACTCATATAGCGCTTAATATTCACGTATCGTTTCCGCCTACAGATTGCAGATCCCCGGCCGACTGTATCATTCCTCATATATTCTACTATGATTATCAATCCTATTTTTTCTTTTATTATCGCATTTATTATCGGCCTTATTGACCGCATTAAACTGCTCATTTTTCAGCTTAATAAATCGCTTTCTATGTACTATCTCTGCTGCATATTACGCTGATGCATGTTTTTGTCGAACACTTAAATGTATTTTTTATATTTCAGTGTTCTGGTGGGGGAATTATGTAGTACCCCTATACCAACTATAAACATACGATTTTAATCTAATTTGCATACTCATATTATATGTTTACACAGACCGATTTTATATGTACTTCGTAAACATTTGTCAATTTACTGTTGAACTTTACCTTGATACAATTTTGAAATTTGACTACGGCTATAATACACGATTACACTCTTCACAAGTGCCTTCTGATTTTACATTGTGGGCGTCGAGTAGTCACAACGTCTGCGCACATTGATAAACGTGAAGAAGTACTAGAAAAAACGTGTACGCTAATTTAGTCAAATAGAACACGCAATAGATGTACAGCATAACATGTCAAAGAAATTCTTGTCACACTCGAATCATCAGACCAATTGTACATCACTGATTGTCTCTGGTCCTAGTGTATCTGTGCATTGACGCTACTCTGAGACGGCGAATATTTCGGCATACCGGTGTTTTCTGTAATATGATGGATCAGTATTTTGAAGTTGTTCTGCGATGTCGAGTGAATTGACGCAACATACTCTCTCCATTACTCGTAACATGCTAAATGTAGGGAACAATACTGCTCCAAACTCATTGGAGGAGATGGCTGAAAGCATTCTGAGCTTGAACACAGGAGGAAAATCTCCCGAAACCAACACTCTCTACTCACTTCAATCAAAAATGAATTCACTCTTCGGACAAGATCAATGGGAGTTTTCATGTGAAGAGTGGCACACAAATACTCAACTCATACCGATGACAACAATGGTGACAGCATTGGTTGAAGTGTTGCTGCTGCTTTATTTTGACTGAACTAGAGTACACGTATCTTCTAGTATTTCTTCGCGTTTATAATTGTGACCTAACGTTGCGATTACTCGACATCCGCAACGTAATTCAAAAGGCACCTGCGAAGGAATACGATAGTGTATTATTGCAGCAATCAAGATTCAAAAATCGAGCAAGAGCAAAAGGTATCAATTGTTAACATGCAAGATTTAGAGTAATAAATAAATGAAAGTACAATTACACAATGAAAGTATAGTACGATTATGAGTAATAAAACGGGTCACTACAGAAGTCTATGCATCTCATCTTTATCGGACAGTCAACCAACGGAAATCTCATTCATTCTCATCTTCACCAGCTGAGATGAATGTCGCTTCACACGATTCCATTATCCACTCAATAACTGACTGATTCATTGACAAACTGACAGGCTGACAGACTGATTGATTCAGGACAGTAATGCTGGTAGAATGCACAAGCTACCAATCATGCAGCATCCCGACAGAAGGACCGAGCGAGTATCAATGCTTTATCATTACTTACACCACCAGTAATTGTGAGTGACAAATTTCCGTCATAAATAAACTCCTGTTAACATTGCATTAATTGAATTGCAATGCGAGATAAGCGATGATTATTGTTTGTCAGATTCCCTTCATTTTGACAGTAGAGTTGTTTTCTTCTAATTGATCAGTTGCCTGACATTAATAGCCTTTCGACGAGATGCAAGCATGCAGTGAAAGCGTGGTAACTACTGAATAGGTGATATTTCTAGTGGGAAGGTGTTCAGTGTGTATGTGAAAAAGTGTTCATATGAACTGTGATCAAGATTTGACCGGATAGTTGCAAAATAATTGAGCGCTGAGTGAGAAGTAGACATTTATAAAACGTTGGAATTAATCATTTCAATTTCGCTGAGATTTTACAAATATAATTTTATAAATGAAAAAGTGTTAGTTTAGATTATAGGTGAGATGAAATGTGGTGTTGTTGTGTCGATGGAGAGAATGTGTTTAGTGAAGAAGTCGTCCGTGGGGCTGCTTCGTTGTCGTTGTCGTGGTAGTTACAGTGACCGTGCTAGCTAGGATGATTGAGTGAGCGTGGTCAGTGAGTATTGGTTTGTATGATGTGATGACTGTTGTAGTTTTGTAGAGAATTTTTTAAAATATTGTTTGGGTATTTGGTTGTTTTATTGGGCTTTTGGTTTCTAATAGTTTGTTGCAGTTTTAATATTTTTTGAGTGCTTGTGTTTAAAAAATATTTGTTTGACGTCTGTGGTTGGTACTAATTTATTGGACAAGTTATTTAGAATTACTTCTAGGTTAATCAGTAATCATTTTTTTATTTCAATAATTTTGGCCTATATAACATCGTTGAATGTGAATTGTACATTGAGTATACGTCTCAGTAATAGTTCATTTAAACAAGTCGTCGGTAGTCCATTGTTCAGCTGATTTTAGTCTCTTTATTGACAAATGTGACAGACAGTTTTTGTGAGTGGAACGTTGGTATATAGTGACTCAATTTCGAGAGACAGCATATTTTTGTTATTTACATTGATATCCTTAATATAATCAACGAATTGGATGGTGTCACTAAGCGAATAGTGGCACATTTGTTTTCGTACAGATTCTAAAATGTCAGCTAGCCATTTTGCTATTGAATGGTATGGGGAACCTGACATATCCAAAATTGGACGCAGTGGGAGGTTTGCTTTATGTATCTTCGGTAAGCCGTATAGTCTTGGTATTATTGATCCTGTCGGTCGGATCTGATCATAGACTTCATGACTGATTAACTTTTCGGTTTGCATTTTTTTAAGGACATCGATGAGTTGTTTTTCAATCTGTTTTTTTTTATTTCCTTCATTGGGTGGTCGTGAGAATTTTGTTTTATCTGACAAAATGTTGTTCATTTTCTCTATATAGTCTTTCCTGTCCATAAGGACTATACCAGCTCCTTTATGTGGATGGGTTATCAGAATTTCTTTGTTTTGTCTCAATTGATTTAATTCTTCTCTATGTTGCCTTGTTAGCTGGTTGTATACTTTTGGTTTTGTATTCAGATATTGATAACAACAATCGATTATTGTTGATTTGAATCGCTGCAGTTCTTGTTCGGAGGTTGGAGTCAAATGATTTGTTTGCGTAACTAAGTTTTCGAATTGTACATGAGTATGGAGTCTGTTGGCATTCAGGTTGACGTCGCAGAATTTTGGACCCATGGATAGGGCTTCTAACAGCAGGTTGGATAGAATTACTGAAGAGTAGTTAAATATGAATTTTGAAGGGTCATCAGGAAACTGTTTGTATGATTTGAGGCTTTTTGTGAGTTGGGATATAGTAGATTGTGACCGTTTTTCAGTGACTGTATTCCGTAAACCTTTGAATTTCATTAGGTAGCAAATCGTGGATGGCTGGAGACCTTTGTGAAATGTTGCGTTGCAGTTCTGGGATACGTGCTTTAATGGAGTCGGTCAGTTCACCTGTTACTGTGGAGCCAAATACATCGGTCGTTCAACGCGCATCCTGTCAAAAAGGGTCAAAGAACACTACCCAGCGTGGCTGCAGAAAGGAAGTAATGGCCGTATAAGGAGTACAATAATCGAACATCTCGTCAACCCTGGTCATTCCATTTCAAGAAACGCCTCCTTCAAAGTAATCTAAAAAGTGAAGAACAACCTTCCAAAGACAATACGTTTCCGTCTTCTTTGCATCGTAGAAGCCCTAGCCATTCAGTTGGAAGAACCAGAACTATGCATACAAAAGAAAATTATTCAACCACTTCTACTCTCATGGTAGCAACTCCGTTGATTTAACTTTTGTTTGTATGTTCATTTTTCTAACTACTTAAGTTTCTCACGTAATTCCGTATGTTATTTTGCTTCCATGTACATCCTGAGCACAACTCTTTCATCAAACTATTCACGTTATTACGGAACTCTTCTTGAACAATCATTTGTGACAACTCATCACTTTTGTCACCTGAACTTACTAATTGTATTTTCGCTTGACAAATTTTATCTTCCCCTATGATTTTATGCTTTGAGAAATTAGATTTTGAAAACCTACGAATTTGCATAATAGGATGTGAAGGCTTTTAATTTCATGATCATAAGGACGTAAGTTTAGTCCTTTACTAATTATACATATATTATGATCATTCATATCCACGGCAGAGTTACTGAATTGATGGTTGGTATTTTGCTGTGTAAACGAAAAATTAGGTGGACTCTATAGTTTATATATATATATATATATATATATAACATCATGCTAATCTTCAGATATCTTTCAAGGATCCCTACTGGGAGTCAACAGAGACCGAACATTTCGGTCCAGTCAATTAACGGGACAAACAAAATTGACTAAAGCGAATTTGTTGGATTGTTTTAATGTGTTGATGAAACTAATCTACCTGAATATTTTCTACAGTTGCAGGTTTACTTCTTCATACTATGAACATAACACATATACACTGGTATTATATTGCATACAGATTTATTCACAAAAGTTACACTTCATATTATGTGGGTGATATATAATACACAACAAATAATGATGCATAAATATTGTGTTCATCATATAAAAGGAAGATTTAATGGATGAGGAGTCATAAATTTATCGAGAACTTCATCAGTAACTGCCGCTCTTCTCTTCTGGTGCTCACCAACAAATTCAGTTAAAAGCGTTATTAGCTCCTTCTTCAATTCACCAGTCAGCATTTTGCCACACGAGTACTCCTGAAAAATTGATTTTAAAAATGAATCAATGTTAACAGGGAATAACACAGTAAAACTTTATAAGAAATTGCAACATTGATTAAATCTTAGAGAAAATACATATTACTATGAGAAAATTAAGAGGTGTCGCTGTAATATTACCTGACGTATTCTGTGCAACATTTTCAGCTTGTCAGGCTTCTGATTTATAACACATATTGACCAGTGAAATAATCAGTGAGAAGGAGGTTAATGAGTCCAACAATTAAAATACACAAAAATAATATAAAACTAGTCGTGAAATGATAACTTTTCTCACGAACTGACACTGAATTGAGAATCACAGCTAATTGATAATCATTAGATAGCTAATTCTCCCTAGTTTGTGACTATTCAACAATGAACACCACCGATCTTCAGATGCACTGAAATCAGAGTAAATGGATCTTGAGGAGAGAAAGTATTAACAAGCATCAAAACTGGTTTGAGGATGTCCCCCTTCCAAATGTTTCTAGAAAATTCTACATACAAAGTGTAATGAATTATATTCCAGCCTGTCAAACCATATATTATTTACATTACATTGAACATCTCTAACACTTATTTATCTACTGGAGTATAGGGAATCTTTTGTGTAAAAGCGATTAGATGTATATGTACCAGGCATATATTCTTTAGAAAAAAAATATTTCGAAGTCTTATTATTCATTTTTCTTTCTGCATGGTTTGGATCACTTCACTCCTACAAACAACCTAGTAAGGCCGAGGGTGGGTAGATTACCGTTTTCCTCTGCAAATGCTCTCTCATGTGGCTTCGCGTTCATAGACTCTGACAGATGAGTCCTATTAACGGCCTTTACAACACGGGGATATTAGCTATAAAATGAAGGGAAAATTTACGTTCATCGTACACCCTAAAAGAAGTTCTTCTGAGGAAAACACAGAAACTCCAGTCTTTACACATTGCTTTATTAGTTAATTACATATGTAGTCAACTGCTTCCATCATAAGCATATTGGTGAATAACGAAGAAACACCCAGTGACATCATGTATTTAACCCCAAGTTCTTTAGATTTTGGTGAAAAGTACATAACTGAGTCTACAAATTACATGTACATGACGGGATATAAAATGCCACAGATTGTTTAACCTGAAAAAACAATTTCTAAAACAATAAATCCTCAATCATGTCGGACTGAAATTCTACGTATCAGCCTAACACCATGAGAAAAGAGTAACCGATACATAACGCGTTCTTCAATAAGTACCTGACGTATTTGCTCTAACTTATTATCATCTTCTAGGAAGAATCGTAAGTACTGGAAAGATACATCGATATCACAATTTCCGCCACGTTCTCTATGTTCAGCGACTGTATCCCCACCACCAGAATAAGCATATTTATTGATCTGAAACCAAGGAAAAACATATGGGTAACTAGGGTACAATATAACAATGAGAGGCCCACTATATGTTATAATGAGAAGCATCGAAAAACACAAATTAATGGGAATTCAAGTTCGGAGAACCTTCTGGACAGGAAAATAACAAGTATGATACATAAGCGCATAAGAAATGGTTAGTTTCACCACACATATACAAACATATGAGAACCAAGAATGACGAACAGTCAGTATGGGAAGAATTTGATTATCGTCGGCTATACACAAGCACTTTAACTGTTAAAAGCGTAAAGCTTATGAAATGACTACAATCCTACTGAAAAATGGTTTATGAGACATGTGTTATGTAATGACAGACGTTCCACACCATTTCTTGTTTTATAGCACTTATGTATTGACTTTGGGAACTGGAATGAGAATATTGGATATTGAAAGTTAATTATCACTACAGATCCTAAAACACGCATAAAAAAGTCATTTAATAGAAAAACGAGTTGCCGATTGTATCTGCATGCAGTCGGCGGTGATAACAAAACGGTACACTATTTATACTACATGCAAGTAACTAAAATCAACCCCAGACGATTTCAGTAATTTCCAAATTCCCATTTACGCATTTAGAAAATAAAAAACAGATTGAGCGAAGGAATATATTCCTTTACAGTTAGTTCCTCATCATCGGCTCTACACTAATATATAATGTTTTTAAATCAAAATGTTTTACCAATCAAGTGGTTATTTTAGTTAATCAGTTTCAGGAATAGGGAGGTGGTGAAATCAAGAGGTTAAAAGCCACCAAAACAATTAGCCAACAGATGTTAGTAACAAGTTACAAAAGAAGGGTGAAAATTAATCACCGAATTCGAGGTAATTTAATTCGTAGGGATTAGCAACAAATTATTGCATACTCAAGAAATTTGTAAAATAATGATGACTAAGCAAAATAGGATGACTCAGTGGAATTACGTAAAATACAAACAAGTTAATAGAATTAGCTAGAAGTGTAAAAACTAACAAAGTCAAAAGATAGTTACAAGGGGGAAGGAAATCATTTTTAAAAACTTAATACATATTATGAAGTTGGCCATAACACAGAAAGGGGCTGTACAAATTTCTTTCGAACATACAGATTCGGCTCATTCAGATGAATTCCGATTGCCTTGACTGTATGTAAAAGTCGTACTCGCAGACCATGCGAGAGGTTGGATGATATGCGATAAAACTTTAAAAGCTTTGCTAGAGTCAACTTGACGTCCAGAATGCACGAAATGAGCTAGTATTGAGCTGCGTATAGCTTTATTCAGATCTTTGAGAAACCAAGATGCGAGGTGTTCAGAAATTCGATGATGAACTTGCGTGATCGTACGCCCAATGTAACTAGCTCCTCTGCACGAGCAGTTAAACTGGTAAATACTCATCGAAGAGGCAAGACAGGGAAGTTTGTCTTTATTTCTTGAAGTAAGTATTGGTTGGCTAGTGAATATGCAGCGTAGATTAGCTGCGTTGAAAGTCCTTTTGAAGGCCCTTCTCAGACTTTGTGATAAGATCTCACTATTGAGATCACCGGTGGATTGTAATCTTAGGAATAATAATTTTTTGAGAACAGTGAGCACCTTCGACTTTTTACTTTCTGAGTTCATGTGTTTGTTCAAGAATTCGGTCGGATATCCGTTTCTACTTAGCAGATCACGAGTATTACCGAGTTCTTCGTTTAGTGTCTCATTTGAACAGAAAACTCTAGTCCGGCGAACCAGACATCTAACCAGATCACGTTTGTATTATAGAGGTACGAAACTCAGGAAGTGAGTATATTGTCTAGTGGAAGTAGGTTTTCTATGCAAACGTCTAAATATTGTTCCGTCTTCATACAACTGGTTCCCTTGATAAATTTCGATAAAGAAAGGAAGACAAAATTTGCAGTATAAAATGATATCATTCTATTTCACAGGTTCTCATCAGCTGCAGACTACCTGAAATTACAATGGTTATATAAATGATAATAACATACTTTAATGTTTGAGTAGTAGTAGAGAAGAGACAAAATTGACGCATCCAAAAAAGAATGAAAGCGTCAATTTTATCTCTTCTCTACTACTACTCAAACATTAAAGTATGTTATTATCATTTATATAACCATTGTAATTTCAGGTAGTCTGCAGCTGATGAGAACCTGTGAAATAGAATGATATCATTTTATACTGCAAATTTTGTCTTCCTTTCTTTATCGAAATTGTTCCGTCTATTCGTTTAGTCACTAGGACGTCAAAAAAGGAGATAGAATTATTTTCTTCTTCCTCTCCTTTAGTGAAGCTTATGTCAGGATGTGCTTCATTGAATTTATCCAATATGTCTTCACAACTGTAAATGTATCATCGACATATCAGCAATAGAAATCAAGATTATATATTACGTCTTAAAGAGGACCTTTCTCTAGTTTCTCCAGGAAAAAATCTGCTACGATTGGACCTAGTGGTGATCCCATGGCTACACCATCCAATTGTCTATACATTTCTTTATTGAACAGTAAGTTTACGTTCATTGTGCACCCTAAAAGAAGTTCTTCTGAGGAAAACACAGAAACTCCAGTCTTTACACATTGCTTTATTAGTTAATTACATATGTAGTCAACTGCTTCCATCATAAGCATATTGGTGAATAACGAAGAAACACCCAGTGATATCATGTATTTATCCTTCACACTTAACTCTCTATTTCTTTCTACGGACTCAAAACTATCTTTTACGCTATTTCTCACGTTTCTTGTGCAACGGTAGTAAATGTTCCAACAGCCATTTCGCAGTTGAATGGTATGGTGAGCTAGACATATCGAGGACCAGTCTAAGTGTCAAGCTGTTTTTGTGAATCTTTGGTGAGCTGCATAACTTCGATGTCACCGTGCCGACAGGTTTTAGTGCTTCATACAAGTCAGGTGAAATATCGCCTTGTTGTTTCAGCTATTTTAAAGACTCTGTAAACTGTCTCTCAGTCCTCTCCCCTCTTATCGTGTAAAATAACCATGGTTTCGTTGTTTTTGTCATTAACGGTGCTGTGTGATCTGTTTGAATTTAGCTGGAAATAATTCTTAACACTTCTCATCAAGTAAGCAAATCAGACATTAACAATACGTAAATAGAAGCTTTGAACTGCAAACTCTGTATAATATTTCAGACAATGTTGTACACAAATACAGTTAATTTATTACCATTTTCAAGAGTTAATCTGTAGGGATTCGATTCGTTTTTTAAAATTCGACTACGGAATGATATCAGCCAGGGAACTATTGTAAACCAGGGAGTACTGGACACATTTTTCGTCCAGTCCGGGACTCATCGGCAGTACGCACCCACCGGCTTTCGAATACAGGATCTCCCAGTGACAAGGCAAGCTCGTATACCACTCAGCCACTGAGACCCGGGCCAATGGCCAATGAATTCTAAAGTATACCAATTCGTGATTTTAGCGCGATCACCAGCCGATGTCATCAGTGAGTATTAGTTCATCATTATGTATTGTATATCATTATTCCCATTAGTTTCGAGTGGAACATAGGTCTTCAGCAATATATCTACATTTCATTATGTTCTCTACAGTCCTTTATAGCTGGCTCCAAGATTACATATAACCTTTTATTTCCTCCTCCATATCACCCACAAGCGTCCAACTTGTCGTTTTCTATTCGCGTTTCACTCGAGGACCTGGTGAACCATGCTACCCAACGGTCTCTTCTGAGTATGTTCAGTTTATCTGTGCGTTGGTGGCACAGCGGTTAGGACGCTCGCCGACCATACACATGGTTCAATCTCCGGCCGACGCACACCTGATATCAATGGTTGACCTGCAAAATTTGGGCTACCAATATCACATGCTAAAAATTCCATAGTTGTACCAAAAATACTGTGTGGAATCAATCTATAATAAAAATACAAATTTTCTTCTGTATATCTATTGGGCGATGGGTCCTTGGTTAGTTCGTTGTTAGAGTCCCTTGATGTTCATACTTTCTGACGGGTCCTTTGTTCTTCAGTGTTGCGCGAATGCAGCTGTTGATAAAAGTCTGGATTGGTCTGCTAGAAATGCTCTTCATGACGCGCTGAGTCTCTGAACTATATAGAAGCTGTGATTTGGCGGTAGTGTTGAAGATCCAGATCTTGTTCTTTGTGTTATGTTCAGTAGATTTCCACACTGATTTCCGAGTAACGAAGGTCTGTTTTGCTTCATCACAACATGGGCACCAATATAAGAAATTATGAACCGTTACGTTGATTTCTCTAACTGATATCAATCCGTGATCAACTCGTAAAAACATAACTAACCCTTACAAACCAAACTATAGAAAATTAATCTGATGCTCGCTAGTAACTTGCTACAGGATGGAGTTTCCTGGAGTTCTAGTGAGAAGTCGTGATCAATGAAACATTTGTTTTCATTGTGAGTGTTGATAACTATATCCAGAAAACTTGTAATTCACTAAATGACTACGGTATAACATTTACATATGTAGAACAAAGCAAGTAACGTGAATATGAATCCTACACAACAGTCTGCCAATACATGAAAAAATTACACTAAGTACAAACTATTCCGATTTGATGAATATTAACTGCAAATGGTATAGTGAAAAAAGTGATTTACCTTATTTTTTATTTGTTTTGGTGTATCTGTTAAAAATATTGATGTGTTAGGATTACTCGCACTCATTTTTGTATGATTTCCTTGTAAGGCAGGAAAGAATACTGAATACATAAGAGATGGTTTAGGCAGACCAAGGCGAGGAGCAACATCTCTTGTCATTCTAAAGTATGGATCTTGATCAATAGCACATGGGATGAAACAGCCCACCTCCTCTGGTTTCTTAAGATTTTTAAACACAGATGGGAAAGACTGGGCAAACGAAGGAGCTGCTTGCACGGCTGGAAAAGATATTTTTCCAATGCAATCACTATCATTAAAGCCAAAGATTGCACGAACTTGATTATAAGTAACTAAGCGTTGTATTTGACACACAGTTCGATAGAAATCTGGGCATGCTCTGAAAATGCAATTTTACATCAAACACAATGAATGTAAATCTATGTGAATTCTACTCGGAACATTTTGAAAAAATATAGAAAATCTTAAATTTTGGAAATAATTATATGCTAATTATTTACAATTCATCAAAATATCATGACAGATGAAACGTTTCTCTCCATAAATGCCTTGGAATAACAGATTTTAAGCTGCTTGAGTTATCAAATGTAAATACAAACTGAATATGGTTTAAAAGACCAGGAGCATCATGCAAAAACAGATGGATATAAAGTTTGTTCTTCCTGAAGGAAAACAGAAAAAGTTAGGTAATAGATTGAAAACTAAAGATCAGAAATTAAAGTAGGGTCAGTGTGTTACGTAATATCATAATAAAACTAAATTTTCACCATAGAACTTTGTGCAAGTGTAGTAATTCAAATTGACACACACACTCTTCATAAAAGCACACAGAAATATAGGAAAAAGAAAGAAACTCAAGGAAACTATAATAAACCAAAATATGCAGAAGAAATAATAATCAAATGGATTATAATGAAAATTGAACAGATCTAGGAGTTTCCGAAGAGTTAATGCATCTGCGTTATTGAGAACAGTTTTGAGCTATGTCACATAAACTCTCGAGTCAATGATTTTGAGTTACATGGACTCCAGCTAGATAGTCTACATCTCTCTACGCAGCTCAGGCCAATAGTTGAAGACTTCATGAATAGGTTTAATTATTCTTAACTACTTTCCAAAGTAATCCTATTTTAGTTAAGATTTCTTGTGAAGGAAAGCGATGGCCTTGCAGGTGTAACACACGAGGGTGAAGAATACATATATATATATATACCTAAATATGGAATAAAAGCATTCTCTGCAAATACTCTATGAATCTATATATTCCATAGAATCACATAGTGAGGTTATATTTTACAAAAATTCAATTTATTATGCGAAAGAATGCCGAATATATAAAATACTTAGGACACTAAAATTAATTGTCCTGTAAAATCAAAAATAATTATGCTATTTATGTACAATTGCATGCTTGTAACCTTTGATACTAACTTCTGTAATAATGTCAAGGTAGCAACTTCGTCTGGTTTACTAGACAGCTAGTTTTCGAGCCGGTCCCAAGCCCGGATAAAAAGGGAGGGATAGGTGTGGGGCTAGTGACCCTACACCATAAAACCAATCAAACTGCTACAGAAACTTCAACGCACAATGAAAATACCAAAAATACAAAAAGCAAACTTATTCTTCGCTCGAATCGGAGAAGTGAAATGACGCGGGCTGGTGAAAGCCTCCGGGAAGCCAGTCATCCGATTTTTCTTCTTTCGATGGAAGCAAGAATAAGAATGGGGATGTGGAGTGTCCGTACAATGTACGAGGCTGGACTGGGAAAGCTGCCCAGGTAGCCAGAGAAATGCGAAGATATGGCCTAGAAGTGCTCGGTATCTGCGAGAGAAGATGGAATGGATGCGGACTGTCAAAATTGTCAACTGGAGAGTCAGTAATCTACTGGTCTGATCAAACAGACGGCAACCACGAGCACACTGAGGGACGGTGTGGCTATAATGATGTCACGAGTGGCAGCCAGAGCCCTAATGCAGCAGGAACTAATTTCATCCTGCAGGATTATGACGGCAAGATTCAACTCCAAGTGAAAAGGAGGTCACAATTATCCTATACTACGCACAGTGCTACAAACAACGCGGAACAAGAGGAGGACTTTTACAGACCACTACAAACAGTAATGGACAACATCCCAAATGGTGATATCAAAATCCTTATAGGCGATATGAATGAAGGCCAAACTGGGTGCAGATAATACAGGAAGAGGACTCATTGTGGGTCGAGAAGATCTCGGGGAAATGAGTGACAGTGGAAAACTATTCACAGACTTCTGCAATTTCAATGATTTGGTGATCGGATGGAGCGCGTACAAACACAAGGATATACACAAAGCAACATGGATTCCGCCCGACGGATACACCACAAACTAAACAGATTTCATCTCAATGCTGCTCAAGGAAGTGGATAGGCAGCCTGCTGATACAAAGTCAAGAAGGGGAGCAGATGTGAGCAAGCTCAGACTATCATCTAGTTCAACGAACTTTTAAGGTGAAGCTGAAATCCATGAAAGCAAATGGAGACAGAGCACAATTCAAGTTCAACATTTAGAAACTGAAGGACAAAACTACGAGGGATGCCTTCGCTACAGATATCAGAACAAAGTCGGACACACTACGTGGCATCACTGAAGAAAACTGTGTAGAAGAACACTGGAACTCTCTGAAGGTGATGTTCAAGGAAACGTGTACAACTGTTCTAGGAAGAAAGAAGAGGGAAGATGAGGAATGACTTTCAACAGACGCCTGGATGCTAATTGAGGACAGGAGGATGGTGAAAGAGATGACTCAATGCAAGGATGGACGACAGAAGGAGAAGCTGAGTTTAATGTACACTGCACCGAATAAAGAGAGAATTGAAGAGGAGTGCTAGGAAAGACAAAAGACAATTCTACGAAACACTGACCGGCAACTGAAGCATAACGTGCAGACTGTAGGTAAGAGAGACCTCAGAACATTATATCAGATAACCAAGTCTCTATCTGGGAAGAGATCAACGCAGATGAAACCTACAAAAGATGTTCCAGGGAATCTAATTACCAAGGAGGGGAAACAAATAAAACAATGGGTTGATCATTTTAATAGACTCTCGAATCGACCACCACCAACAGCACGCACAGAACTGCTTACACTTGGACACTAATCCTCCAACGAAAGCAGAAATCTTAAATGCGAGCAACGTACTGAATACCGGCCGGGAAGGTAGCGGAGCCAGACGGAATTCCCACCGAAGCATTGAAAACAGACCCAGAGACTGCGGCAGATGCACACGATATTATTGCAAAAGGTTTGGAAGGAGGCGAAGGTAGCCTACCAATTGGAAGAAAAGCTGGCTATCTTGTCAAGCCACCAAAGAAGGGCGACTAACGCCTCTGCAAGGAATGGCAGAGAATCATGCTATTGTTCACGTCCAGTAAAATACTAGGTCGTGTCATCCTGGAGAGAATAAAAGATGCACTGAATGCAGAACTCCCTCAGTTGACCGGAACAAGCTGGATTCAGGAAAAGTAAATCATGTGCTGATCAAATTGCAACTCTATGCGTCATCATTGAACAAAGCATAGAATGGCAGTCAAACCTCTATCTTAACTTCATCGACTTTCAGAAGGCTTTCGACAGACAGCGTTGATCGAGAAGTAATTTGGAAACTAATTCAATACTATGGCATACAGTGACCGGATCTTTATCAACCTCATTCAACATCTATACGACTGTGTTACGTGCCAGGTGATCCACAACGGAAAAGTGAACGAGGCATTTGAGATGAATACAGTTGTAAGAAAAGGCCGGCTGCCTATTATTACTGATGATAAGCTTGATTGTGGTGGACTGGATCATGCGTCAGACTGTGTACAGGGAGTGAGGAGACAGCAATACGTCGGACTGACAGATAAAAAGACTCTAGAAGATCTGGATTTCGCGCGTGGATGATTTATGTTTGATGTCACACAAAATCGAAGACTTGCAGGAAGGCATAAACCGACAAACTGGCTGAAGAGGCAGGCAGCGAAGACAGGACTTCAGGTGAACACAGAGAAGGCGGAGTTGATGAAGATAACCAACCAACAGCAACAGCAACAACCAGCACCAATCACCATCAACGGGAGAAATGTGATAGAGGTTACCTCCTTCACTTATCTAGGAAGCGTGGTTTCAACCACAGGTGGAACGGATGAAGATGTCAAAGCAGACCAGAATCGGAAAAGTACGATACGCCCTCACCAACCTGAAATCAGTTTGGAAATCTTCTGCACTCAGCCAGCATAAAGGACAAGATTCGGATTTCCAACACAAATGTGAAGTCAGTCAGTTCGTCTGTACGCGTCAGAAACATGCACTATCTGTCACGGAAAGGATTTCCAACAAGTAAGAGACTTTTATCAACAGCTGCCTTCGTTGGCTTCATATTGAAGATCAAATGTCAGGTCGGCCAGGAAGAATTAGTAACAAGAAACTCTGCAGTGGAACAAACCAACAAACAACCTATCGTTCAAAAACTATATAGGTGAAAGTGGAGATGGATCGGGTATGCTCTAATGAGTTTGTCGAGTAACATCGCGTGCCCGGCTATCGCATCCCAAAGGGAAGCGACGACTGGGTCTTCAGCCCGAGGGTGAGATGGAGGAGGAGGTCGTGCGAGGAGGAGATGAGAGGTTATGGGCAATCGTGGACCCGGCTGAAGAGGACAGAGGAAAATGGAACAAAGTGGGGACGTCTTGTTGAAGCCCTATGTTCCACTCGGAAACGAAGGGAACAATAATTCGCTAAATTAGCAGATGCAAAAAAGTGAATACATATCACATCGTAAGCATGCAATTACAGATAACTTCTAAGTATTGCCAGTGATTGGCAAAATGCGGAATTCAGCGTTATAGTTTTTAACATTGTGAGCTAGTGTAGAGAAAGGATCACTTTGAAATAACTAAGTTCTTTAGCCACAATCAATAGTAACTGAAATATGACAAAACAAGACTGGGTAGCCTTATCGGACCTCACAATGAGTGTGGCTTATTGTCTGGGACATGGAGAATTCTGTTCCGGGTTAAAAGGTCCTAACTAAAATTTTCAATCAGTTGAGGATGTATATGGCAGAGAAGTTACGGTTTTTGTAGGCAGTTTATCTAAGTGCTTAACACTTTTGAAAGTACCACCTCTACACCATAAGAAAAGAGTACAGGAATTGCTTATAGCAGCCTGCAATGTGTTTCTCGGAAGAGTTCATTCGTTTCTTCGAAAAACCATACTGAATTCCGTAATCATATGTGCCTTTGTAACAACTGCAGACTACTTAGCCTTCACTAATCGTTCAATTTTGTTTTATAAATTCAAAAGCTCATGATACTTATTTAAGCCTTTTACGTCTTTCTGCATCGGTTGCACAGCGGCAGGATGCTCACCAACCATGTATATGGTCCGAGATTCAATCCCCGGCCGATGCACTCCTTCACCTCGCTAACCCAGTAATCAGCCTGGCAAAAGGGAAGATTGAGCATGAGGCTAGCAACCCCATCCCGTAAAAATAAATACCACCGCTACTGAAACTTCAAAGCTCTAGCTTGAAGCCTTCCGTTCCACTGGGAACGTTAAGGAGTAAAACAACAATAATGAAGTACACATCTTTCAGTTGGACTATTTCATACGAACACAAGGAAAGAGACAACTGGGCGTTGGTCACTGACAGCTCAGATGATATAAAGAACAATATTTTCCGAAGCCCGACTGAAAAAAATTAATTAAGAGCTGTAACTAGAGGAGAAAAATTTCAAACTATGTATGTAGCATGATGAGGATTCTAGTGAGTGGTAAAATGCCTCGAACTCGGTCGGTCGGTTTTCGACATAGAACTTTGCACATATGTGCGGCAGTTCAAGTCGCCACACTCCATGTAGCACACAAAGCAAGAGAAGAAATGCATAATATAGACAGTAAACAGAGGTGTGGGACAAAGGTATAGTAATAACGGAGAACAAAGCAGTTTAATTGGAAATCATAAGTCACAAGGAGTGGATGCATCTGCGCCATTGAGAACGATTTTGAGCCATATCACCAATTGTCTCCAGCCATCTGCTTTTAACATCCCGAGGACCCCAACCAGGAAGTCTACACCTTCCTACGTGGCTTAGACTAACTGTTGTGGATTTCATTGACTGGTGCCATGTTTTCGTTTGACCGCCGCCAACCCTTTTCCATCCTGGCCCTATATCAGCTAACATTTCCCGTCGAGGAAGGCGATGACTAGGCATACGTAACACATGTCCTAACCATCTCAGTCGATGTAATTTCACAGTCTCGTCGACTGATTTCCCCGCCTTACCTAGCACACGACGACTAACCTCAATATTGCTCACCTTATTATACCACTTCACGCGGGAGATAGAACGCAGACACCTATGATCGAACACAGATAATCTTTTCATGTCTTCTGCTCTCAATGGCCAGGTCTCACAGCCATAAAGGAGGACGGAGCGGACTGTTGAGCAGTACACACGCCCTTTGGTCGATAGTCGGATATCACGTCTACGCCAGAGACGGCGTAAATTGGCATATGCGAACCTAGCCCTCTGTATTCGTGCTGAGATTTCGCCGGAGATCAACCCGTTGGGGCTGTCAGTGGCTTTAGATAATGATAAGAAATTACATTTCTTGTACGCCTATTATTAAAATTCAGTTGCAAAGACGTTCCTAACAATTAATACAAAATCAAAATATGCTGAAACCTACCCCATGTACTCAAAATCGCTGAAAATAAATGTTTTGTTAGGGTCGAAACCCATGGCAATTATATCTTTTGCATTTTCGCGAGACAGATGGCGAACTTCTGAAATGGATAAGTTTTTCCATAGAAACTTTTCGTCGTCAGTCAACTGGATAACGAGGGGAACATCAAAAACGTCCTGTAGCCACCTGAAAAATGATGAATGTACAATTTAATACAACTTATTTATTATGAACGGAACGACATGTCCAAGATGTAAAGCTTCGGACGACGGGCCTCTTCCAGTGTACAGGAAGAATGGCTTTTTCTGTTCAATCCGTAAGATAATCTGTTCTAGGTCCCTTAACAGCAATTTTTAAAATGGCTTAGACTACCTATGTGAAAAGAAGATTTTACGCTTCAAAAGGTGGTGAAGTGGTTGTGGGCAAACGTTAGAGAGTTGCAGAAGCAAATCATCGGTGATTTTCGAGCAACCAAAACGAGTAATAAGTTTGTCATAATCCACACCGCTGCCTGAGCTAGCTGATACTTCCCATGGAGTGACGACATCTTCATTGTCATGTAAAACTTCACCAATGTCTTTACAGTCCAGATGAGACATCTTGTGCAATTTCTTCACAGCATACGGTGACAGAACTGTGTGAGACAGAAGAGACAAAAAGGAACTATTAGTCTAGATAAGAAAATAATTTAACACCACCATATATACATGCTTCATAATAGTAGTACACAAAATGGAATAACACCACAGCTGAAACCGTATTGTTAATAAATACTTAGAATTTATTTATAACAAATGCTTAAGAATCAATAAAAATAAATAAGTTTTGTTAAACACAAGTACTAAATAAGTAAGGTATCGAGGTTAGATAAATCACTGAAACGTATACATTCAGTTGGCCCATATTTTCAGAGTACCGTTGAAGCTCATTGGAGTGCCTAGATAACTAAGCTGTTTCCTTTATTCTCAAATGCAAAAAATAAGTAAGTTATAAACAGTACAAGATACACATAATCATTCATTTCTCCAATTTCTAACTAGACGTAGGAGGTTTCCCACACTGGAGCCTAAATTCTATGTATTACAGCAATATGGTGTATGAAAGTTGAATTCTCTATGCTCGCCTCCCGGTTTACGAAACGGTAATGCATGAACAGTGAAAAGGCAAATATTTATATTATCGAATAAGAAAAACTGGCCTAGGGCTTGAACCTGTCATGGAATTAAGACATTTAACAAGATGTCATGTATGCGTTATATTCCTCTATCTCACATATGGCTGAATGACAGAAACACGAACTACTAACATAACTGAGAGACTAATTTGGTTCCTACCCTTTGTATTCTTTCTAAGATATGTCCCTCCTTCTTGAAGCATGGACTAGCCGCTTGTATGCAGTATTCTAGATGAGGCCTGACATAGGTTGCGTAGAGTACTTTGAACATAGACTCATCTAATCGTTTGAAAGCTCTGGGGAGTGCCCATAGCATTCGAAAAGCCTTAGCTGCGGCTGCATTGCAATTCGCAGATGCTATCAAATCATCGTTGACGATGATTCCTAGGTCCTTCTGTCCGTTAACATCAGATAGTTCTGTGTCCATTAGGGAGTACGACGCATATGACCTGACCTATGTGCACTACCGCGCTTTTCCTAAAATCAATTTCCAAACTCCACAGTTTCCACCACTCAGCTAATTTATCTAGATAATGTACATGAACGTTGGCAATGTTAGACTTTAAGCACCACCAACTAACAATCAGCGAATGACCTCGAACGCACCAATCACCTGAAGGAGGCATTTTCGTGTATGGAATACACATATTTGTGAAGAAATGCCTAAAAACTGTATAAAAGTGTTACAGAGGATATCAATTCCCCTCACATACGATAAAAATTGCTCTCAGTTTTAGGTTGGAGTATCAACAGAGTATAATTCCATTGTGGGTGAAATTTATTCTGATAAAGTCTCATAGTGCAATACAGTAATATTTCCTAAGCAATAATCTTTGCTGAAAACGTCATCAGTAAATATTACCGTATAACACCCTGAAACTTTATGAAAGCAAATTTTACCTACAATGGAATTATACTCTACCACAGTGCACAAGTTATATTCATATATCGACGGAGTAATTTAACCACATTCTATTCATGTAATTATTTACGTCTTCTAACCCTAACAATAACCTTGATCTTTCCTCAACCTAACCCTAATGTGAAGATATCCCTAAACTAACTGCCATCTAACTTCAACTAACCCCAGTGTCACCTTTAATAAGTTAACCACTTCATAACTTGTCCTTGGCCTAAACTGTAACTTAATCTTTCCAAAATCTAAGATGAAAATTGCCAGATATCCCATTTAATAACATAACACTTCGATGGGCATATTTAATTGATGATGACAACATTATTTGCCAGGTTTCACTAACTTGCTCAGTGGGCGTATCAAGGTCATTAGTGCAGTAGCACTCCATCGGTAGTTAATTGTGCTTAAAGTTTAACTTGGTCATTTTATTACTTGTATTTAATCTAGCTAACAGTATCACAGTCGCTAGGGCGAACTGACTAGCTTGAGATTTGCAATGCTAAACATCGAATAAGGCAAATCCCACACGTACGAAACACTTTCAAAACTGTTGGGCACTGATTCGACCCTGTGAAGTGGGTTGCTCAAACAAAGTGTGACAATCACCAAGTTTATCTTAACTGAGCTACGACGAAGGTATTTCAAAAACCTCTAAAACCTATCGGTAGTATCCTGACAGTTAGTTAGGTGAACATTATTTAGGTTGAGGATAAATGTAATGAATAGCGGAGCACATGGTTAATGGAGAGGCTGAGCACTTGAAGGTCACTTTGCACGTTGTGATTAGTAGTTTCGAGTTTGCGTCTGCGTCGTGGCAATACCAAAGTAGGGTTGACTGCTGAAACAGCCGTGAAAGTGGTGTTTTTATCATTGGATGACGACTCGGTGGATGTGTTGTGAAATCATCACGAACTGTCAAGGTCACTGGAGCAGTTAGCGACCTGAAGGTTATTTTCGTCCATGTTAGTCGGCCATGTTGGAGTGCCGTTCCCTAACCATTCATTTACAGATTGGCGTTTACGTTTATCCTGTAGTTATTCACAACTTAATGCACATTGTTCAAGAATGCTGTGTTTCACCTCATTTTTTTTCCGTTGCTGTTTAGATTTGTTATTGCGTTTGTTTCCAAAGATTTTACCACCAGGTTACTTCATTGTAATTTTTTTCATACGTTTTCTTCATGCGTGGTTACATCGTTTTAGTTGTTTTCAGCTGTTAATGAAACAGTACTGTGTAGAATTTCTGGAATTTATGCAAATGAACATGTTTGGGTGCCAGAAGCTGTTGTTTCCAGTTCATTTGTTGGTATCCAGTATTGTTTACTTAATATACAGAAATCTGGAGAAAACAATGTCTTTCACGTTCATGTTTGTAGCATGCAACTATCTACGAATCAACCTGGTGAGGACAGTACTATCAGAGTTGATATTAGCAAGGTTTTCGAAGAACACATAAATCCTGGAGAATTTAGAACCTGAGATGAAATTGAAAAAGCTTTAAAGATTTTCGAGAAGGTCAGTATACCATCAATGTGCCTATTATCAGTTAAAAAATAAGATATATTGTGGGAGAACCCAAATTAAACAAGGTTGGGCTACATGTGAAGTGCTAATTTGTCGTGTTTGTATGCATTTCTGGGAACAAAAAGAAACAGGGGAACATTCAGAAATCTATAAAGGGTAAGTGTTGCCCATGGTTGTTAATACCTAATGTACTAGATCCAAATACATGTACTAGAACTGCCTGTAGTAAAGCCACTGTTATTGGCCATTCAATATGTTACAAAACGATTTTAAAAGCGGATAGCATACAATGATCTGGTGAGTGTACAAATTATCCTAAATAAAGGTAAGACTTTAATTAACAAGAATAACGACTCTTATTGTGGTCTGCGATTGGTGGTGAGAAGCTGATTATTATTCGGGATGCAAACATTGGCTGAATAAAAATTGCTTGTAATTTCTGGATGGGTATAAATATGTGATGTCCATGATTTTTAAGAAAACTTTAAATAAATTCTCCTTGAACCAGTGGTCCTCTTTTTCTTGGAGAAACACTTGTCGACACGATTAGACAAATAGATAGCAAAGTAGTAGTAGTAGTAGTAAGTACTATAGTCGCTGCGCTTCAGATTAATATCGCGCGTCTGTTATAACCCTACCGACACAGTGAGTCATTTGAGACGATGGGATAAATACCTCTAAACGCTTTCATGAAGATTATGACATATTTACTTTTTTCGACCAGGAGACCATCTTTTTACCGGGAAGGTTCTCAGGACATCCACTCTTACTTTGTAATTCAAAGATAACGTTAAGTTGCACACTAAGGTAGTAGTTACAGGAGATTACTTACAGCAGAGACTGTTTTAAGGTAGCTACGTGGTTGGAGGTAATGTGTCATAGAACTATACAGCGTACGTTGACTGCGTCTAAATATACTAAATGTTGTACAACTGGTCAGATCGTAGTTCTTACTTACTAGTTAGTCTTATAAACAATAAATATACCGTACAAGCGTTTACTTTGATTTGCATGCCTAGCTCATTAACAGTTTACCTGCATTTGTTATACATTTAAGGCTAATACGCTGTGTGATGAGTTCTGTGGAACACGTTAATATCACGATTAAAGCAAGAAGAACAGGTCAAGCAGGAAAAAGTAGCGTCATTAAAGCGTAATTTATTTAATATCCATAAAGTAGAGATGCAAATACTGCAGTTGTTGGTCATAAAAATGATGGATATCGGATAACGTCACATGATTCAACGGCATATTAGAGGTAAACAAAAATTGTTTCTCAGCTCATCGTCAAGTAAGCAGCCTATTTGTTGATGTCACTGCATATTAGCAGATTAATGAAGTAGCTATCAACCCTCAGTAAGTACATTTACTTGTACTACAGACTTGTAGTTTAGC